CATGCCCCTTCCCGAACCATGTTATAAAGAATCACAACACTTCCAAAGATTCTTAAATGATTGACTCTTAGTTTCTCTAAACTCTATTCTTCTTCTTATGTAATATTGTCAATTTTCTTTGTCGAAAACTTGTTAAGCAAATAAACTACATAAGCAACAACATCTTCTTCCCTTTAACATGTATCAGACTATATTAAGTATGGTCTTATTATTCCTTTTTGAGATACCATTTTGTTGAGGTGTGGATGACATTGTGAATTGGTGTAAAATTCTATTATCTCTATAAAAACTTCCAAATTCATTTGATATGTGTTCACCACCCCTATTTATTCTTAAACATTTAATCCTATAGTCAATCTTGCAATATATTTAAAACTTATTTCTTTTTCTTTAATATGTAAACCCATGTTTTATCGCTATAATCATTAGTTAAGATAGGAAAATATCTACTTCCTCTATGTGATACTATTTTGATAGGACCATAAACATCTAATTGTACCTGATCAAATCGATGTCATGCACTTTTTATTTTTTTAAATGTATAATATATTCTTTCTTACTTGCCCATGATACACACTTCACATAACTTTAATAGACGATCAATTCTTAGCAAATCAATTACCATATTATATTTCTCTAGAAGTTTTAAAGACTCAAAATTTAAGTGGGTATATCTAAGATGTTATAATATAGAATTATCCTTAATAATATTATTAGAATAATTTAATAAATAAAAAAATACATAAATATAGAGAAAATATTCTGTTCTTAGTTATTTTCATATATGAGATTAATATTTTATTCTTTAAAAATTGAAAGAGTTATATCTTTCATCTCAATATCATAATAGTTTTCAAGCAATTACCCTAGTAGGGAAATTTAGGGGCGATATCACATGCATAGCAGAAGAACAAAAAGAAAAATCTTATATTTCCACAAAAATATTTCATCATCGTACGGAGATTGGTGTACAAAAAATCGTAAGATCTAAAACCAAGGGTATATGAGAGATGTGTTTTACTTAGGGAGATTATATATCCTTGAAATCCTATAAAGCTATGAGAGAGGATGAAGGAAATCAACTATTTTCCTCTATAGCAATAATCCACATAGTAAGGGTTGCAAAAATGCTCATCGAATCATTGTCTAAATCTCCACATACTCTAAATAGGGGATGTTAGTTAAGAAGAAGGGGAGAGGAGAATAGGAGGTGGTAGCAAAAAAGACATAACCTATGGCCCTTTGGTTCCCTCCTATTTATAGAGGCCCTAATATCAATTTAATTCTAATGGATTCAGCCCTATTAGGTATTGGATCTCCATCCAACTACCTAAGCTTCTTAGATTAGTAGATCTCTATCCAATAATCTCTCATTGATTTTTATCGGATCTCATCCATAGGATCTAATAATTCAGGGGCTTATTAGATATCCAATAAGATAGAGGCTCCAGCGAATATCTTATATCTAAACCTCTACTCGTCGTAATACCTACCATATATATATGATTCTCTAGCCCCAATATTGAGCTGACCATGAGTTATACTTATTAAAACTCATTCTAGCTCAGTGAAATATTATCTCCATAATAATTCACTTGACTCATCGACTACGGACGTATTAGGCCACTGAACCGTAGTCCCCAAATAATATAGGAGAATCCAATCTTTTAGACCTATCTATATTTAGTTATCATATACTTATAGTCCCTCATCTATCTAATACCCCAGAGACCGTATATGAGACATAGTGTTGTCAGACCCATACGGTTTATACTCAAGTGTTGTTCTAATCAGATTCTCCCGAAGGACTCTTTCTCTCTCAATTTAAATGACCCTAGCTAAGGATTTGTCTTAGTGAGAACACATGAGATATTTCTTTTATGACATCGAGAGCAAATGATTCTCTATCGATACTCAATAGCCCTCGTAAGGTTGGTTGCCACTCCCGATAACCGACTATACTAGATTTGAAATTTCTAGACCTATAAGTCTGGTATCAAAGAGTGGAGTACTCATAGAGAACATTCTTGATGTCTCAAGTCTAAAATCTATATATACCACTAGGATAACGGAATCGCTGTCTAACAATGAGGTATCCACCATCTAGCATTCTGTAAGCGAATCAATCATTGAACATATTCTTCAATGAGCACCTGTACTGTATCCCTAGTGTCCCCACATGAGCAGTTATGAGACCAACCGTATCCATTATATGGATGAGTATACAGTATACTAGTTTGTCCGGTTATCTCGATGTCCCTCTTGAGTAACCTATGGCCGGGATTATTTAGGTCTATGTTTAAAGGCAAATCAATCTCATTATTGTGATCTCATCATAATCCGATTCTCATTATATAGATTCATGGACATTACAATATATATATATATATATATATAATATCAAATAAATAAAAAGAATGTGTGTCGTATCACATGTGATATCACTAACATGATTGGCTTGTATGACACTTATGACTAGCTATTATTAGAAACATCTGAAATGTATAATTCTTTGCTATTATTAGGTCTAAAATTTTTTTTATCTTTGCCTCATATTGATCTTTGAGATAAACTACCAAATGTAATATTGTCAGAATAACTTGTATCCATTTTTAAAAAAGAAAATTTGATGCCACATATGTGATTTGAAGCTCTTGTATCCGGATATCATATCATAGACTAATCTTCTTTCAAATAATCATAAGTCATTAGCAAAATAAGATTTATGTTCTTTTTCTTTTTTAGTAAAATTTATTTTATCATGTTGATTATTAGGATTATAATAATATTCAAAAGACTAGAGTTTATATATTTTGCAAACATAACATTACATTTTAGATCTTTTAGAATTTTTGTCACATTCGATTTCTTTGTCTAGAATTCTCCATCACTTTCATTGTTTTGAGATTTTTGATTAGTCTAATTTCTGTAATCTTTTTATCTTTATCCAGGACCTCTTTCTCTTTGAGATTTTAATTTATCTTTGTTTTCATGAGTACACTTGATTTATGAAAACAAAGATCTATAAACAAAGACTCACGTTTGGTGAAGAGATCTCTTCAAGTTCATAAACAAAGGCTCACCTTTGTTTTCAACTAACTTACGTTTCTTCTCTTTTTGTAAGTCTTTGTTTATGAACTTGAAGAGACCTCATTAGTTATTCTAAAGATATTTTTGAAGTCTTTAGACTCTTCAATTGTTATATCAATAAAATCAAATCTTAAATTTAAAAATCTTAATATTTTTTCTATTACTTGTTTGTTCACCATTTCTTCTCATTTGATGGACAATATAAATGATTTCTGAAAAATAATCGGAAATGGATTGAAAAGTATTTTGTTGTAATTTTTTGAATTCAACACGTAAAACTTGTAAATGAAGCTTTTCTACCTTATCCACTCTATCGAATATTTTTTAAAATATTTCCTAAGCCCCATTTAAAGTCTTTACTGGAGCGATAATCTCAAACATGTATTATCAAGCCCTTAATAAATCATGAACAAAATTTTTTCTCATTTTTCCTTTAATCTTGAGTTGTTTTCTTACTTCTTTATCCATTTTTCCTTTTGCTAGACTTTGTTTAACAAATCCACTTTAAAACTTTATCTTTTATGACATAATATATAGGGTTTATATAGTCCCCATGGATATATTATATTCATTACATTTAATATGAATCTCTCCCTTTTTTTTAGAGACTTTTAAATTTTTTTCAAGAATTTAAGATACATTGAACTTCTTTGGTGCCCTGAAAGAATTGACAAATTTAATTCCATTCCAATAGAAGGCAGCTGCATGAGAGGCCAACCAATTGTAGTGTATGTGCATCTCATTTATGATACCATTTCACCAATCTCCCCATGATTTATTAGGAATCAATTTGGTAACTTGGAAAGTCGACAATTAACGAGAACAATTATCGCTGCCATTTCATACATTTGTTTGATCGAATTGAGTCCATCCCATCTCGTTGATTCCTCGGCCCTTCACTTCTATTTCGGTTCTAATGCTTTCAAGAATTTTGTTCTCCAACTTCTGATCTCAAAAAATTTATGTTAATCTCATGGTTTCTCAAGTGCACTTGACTTTATTTGATTTAATTTTCGCCACAAATAATAGCTGATAGCATTTTATTGCAAGATTAAAGATCTTTTTTTAGTTTCCTTTAATTTTTTATTTTGAAAATAGAAACATAAAACATCATTGTTGTCATAATTACAATATAGATATATATAGGCAATTGTTAGTCAAAAATAACTCTTCACATATAAATGCCAACATATATGGCTGATCTCAATGATTTTTAAGTATTCATATGTCTTGACTAAATGAAGAAGAATACGGCTCTAAACTTTTCATAGAAGGAGAGAGAGAGAGAGAGACGTCTTGTAGGCTTAGGCTTTAAGAAAGAGAGTGATAGAGCGCCCCCCGTCTTGTAGGTTTTAAGAATCCCTCCTCACCTCATAAAAAGAGAGAGAGAGAGAGAGAGAGAGAGAGAGAGAGAGACGTCTTGTAGGCTTTAAGAAAGAGAGTGATAGAGCGTCCCCCGTCTTGTAGGTTTTAAGAATCCCTCCTCACCTCATCATCATCCTTAGCATAAATGTTCATGCCCCAGCTACGTACAGTGGCATGCAAGCTCGAAGAGACTGATAGAACATATGGAGCATTTAATGGCCAGTGTAGACTCAGTTGGGAGTGAGGTGTGCTGAGGTCCCACAAGACATGGAGACAAGGTAGCATAATGGCATGGCACAAACCCACCAAGATCTAATGCATACAAGGGAGAGGGACATCTCCCCTAATGGACTGCCCTCCATCTCTCACTCGGTCCCTCCTTCCACCTTAGTGCATCAGCTATGTATGATTCGAAAATAACGACAGTCTCTCACTGTCTTTTGTGTGATATGTCCGACAAAAGTACACAGTACAACCATTGATTGCACCACATGTGGAGGAGCAGATGCAACAAAACTTGGGTGAGCAAAGCATTGAAGCAAGAATAATATCAACATCTATGTTTTTATATTGTTGCAATCCATACAACAATTCACCAAAAATTGATACAGCGATACATCTCGTTTCTATGCAGATGAAAGTTGACAGTGAGTAGATGGATCACAAGAGAAGACATCATCACTAAACTTACGTTAACAACAAGCTTAAAGTTGGTTCTTTTATGCTATACGGAGCTTGGATTGAGGATTGGGCGTTTACCCGGAGGAGACGGGATTGAGGGCCTTGGCGAGGCCATTGATGGTGGTGTAGCTTCGGGAGCTGAAGCCCAAGCAGCCTAGGAGACCCTGGCGGTACGGCAGGAATGTCCGCCGCCTCATCTCCTCCGACTGGGCTCGGTTCGCCGTGTAGTGCCGCTCGTGTGCCGATGGAGAAGCCGCCGCCGCCGCCGCAGCAGCGGCGGCGCCACGTCGCCTCCCTATCCCGTTCGCTGGCCTCTGCGACGGCTTAGTCTTGTTCTGCTCCTGTGCCGGTGACGAAGCTGACGTCCCCGCCGTCGCCGGAGATGGCGGCAGTGGGGCCTTCGGTTTGGACGACGGGGAGAAGGAGATCGAGTGCCAGAACTTTTCCTTTTCCTTGCCGTTCCCCCGCCCGCTCCCTTCGCTTTTGCTTCGGTAGAGGAGGAGATCTTTGAGAAAGATCCATCTTTTGGAGTTCCTGCCGCCCGAAGAAGAGGATGATGAGCGCGAGGATGACGCCGACTCCGGCGGCGTCGGCGATGCTTCCTTAGGATCCGGGTCGAACACCTCGTGCTCCTTCACCGCTTCTTGCTTCTCGTCCTCGTCTTCTTGCCACTGGAACCGAGGGCTTCGAAGGGGCGACATGGATCTGGTCCTCCGATGGACGGATCTGCTCCGGAACGTCAGATTCCGTCCCCTCCCCTCCTCCTTTTCCTGCCACTCCTTCTCCTCTCCTTCCTCATCGTCCTCGTCACCAAAATCCATCAGCGGCGGGAGTGGTCGCGGGCGCAGGACGTGAGAGTGGACCTTGATCGGGCGGATCAGGCCGTTAAGGAAGAGCTCGTCGGCGGAGGTCATCGTCCCGCCGGGGTCCGCGCCGTCGAACTCGAAGTTCCCGGAGGCGGGGGCCTCGTCGGCCGCCACCGGGTCGGCGGTGGGTGAGGAGGAGAAGGAGTAAGGAGGAGAGGAGAGGACGTAGTGGACGGGGCTGGCGGGACAGCTGAAGTAGTAGCCAGCGGCACGGCCGGGGCTGGAAGGGTCGCTGCCAAACGGGGCAGGGGAGGAGGAACAGCTATCCATCGTCGTGTCAAAGGAAAGCAGCGGGTACTGCGTGGTCTTTAGGGCTTCGCCATTCCTATGGTTTTCGAGATCCATCTCCTTAGCCGTCCTCCTAAAGAGAAGCTATTTACAGAGAGAGAGAGAGAGAGAGAGAGAGAAAGGAAGTCGGAAAGGAAGGCAGCGAAGGGAGCGGCACGAGATCATATAAATAGCAGGCAACACGTAGAAGACGGAAACTGGTAACCGCTTCCAAACGTTAGCGGCCACGCACTGTATCCTATTTGACGAGAATACCCCTACTTATACTTGAAAATTCTACTCGATTTTAGCCCCAAAAAAGGGTATGTAAGTCATCTTAAATCAATTGCTTAGCAGCACAACCCTGACTTTGGTTTCCTTCTACGATTATGACTTCTTAGTAGTCAATAAAATTAAACATATTTAGACCGGTTTTTAATGTAATTAAGACATTAATTAGTTTTAAAGCCAAAAATATTTGGTATAACCTATGAGCTCTTGACACGTGGACAATCAACAATCACTAATCTAAAGGTTTAAACTGCCATATAGCAGTTATTCTTTTTTAAGACAAGAAAGTAAATCATGATCCAAAATAAAGTCACCATAATTTTCATCCCTCCAAAGCTTATCCAATATACTGTTTGAGTCTTACTGTTGGCTTCCCTAAAAATATGTGACCAACGTACTACACAACCGTCATAAGGTAGTTCATGAGAAATTACAGTTGAATCAAGAATTGACTCCAGGTATATTCCCAAATCTAAATCAAGAATTACAGTTTAATCTCTTCAAGCTCTCATACTTCCTTTCCACAGACTTCTTCTCTCTCTTGGAGGAGTACTCATTGGAGGTATCCTCACTACCCTCTCTTGTTGTACGATCATCTTTGAAAGCAGTTTTGCACCTAGAAAACAGATCTCAGTCTCCTCGATGACATCTTTTCTCATATATTATCATTTACCTTATCAAAAACGATCATGTCAAGTCATGTATTTATATGACAAGATGATGAAATCAGACCCTATGAATTTAATTGTGCAAAACAAGCAAAATATAAGATAATTTTGCCCACACTTAGTTGCAGCTTTAAACGTCTTTAGATTGAGCTTATGGTGGAGTTGAAGGTGCAGAAGCCCAACATGGTATCAGTTCATCAAAGTCAACCTTTGCTTGGTGTGAGGTACACCCAGCTATAGTACTACTCCCATGTGCACTCCCTGCTCGATGCCATGTCAACAACAGCTACTTAATGAAACATTTGGTGGGTGCACGAAGTTGGAGTCCCAAAAGGATGAGAGGGTTAATGTTACCGTGCGTGGTGAAGAAGTGGGAGGGTGGCATGCACGTTTGCAGGCTGTCAGCGGCAACGTGCTTCCCTTCTTTCCCCGTGAGTTGAGTTCGGAACCCTAAAACAGTCTTAAGCTGCTACCCTCTGCATGTCTTTTATCACCTAGCCTTGTTCTTTATTGTTGTTGGTTGTCAGCTACAGAACGAGCTTGCTTTCTTACAAAGAGATGGAGGAATTTGTAGGAGATGTACAATAATGTCAAACTGCTTCACCGTGAAACCTCACTTTATTCTCAAGTCCTATGTTATACGAGCTGATAAGATTCATGCTTTGCTTCCAAGCTACAGCAGGCCATGAACAAGCCAAAGCCACATCAACTTGCGCTTACAGTGCTTTAGACCCACATGATGTGTACTGCCAGTATTATTGTGTCCTCCCTCATCACTCTTACATCAATTATGAATGAACCCAGGACTCATATAGTACTGTACTGATAAGGAGGATTTGTCACATTGACACCCGATTTGTGATTGTAGTAGTGAGATTATCTTTGGCTAAACTGTCTTCCTCATCACTCACAGATCTGAGAACTTCCACCATGAATTGTATATATCTGCTGGTACCATAGTCTCCATGACAGTGATAAAGACTGTCTAACCATCACCAACCAAATGGCTATCTAATTGGTTGTTGCCTACATCTGCTAATGATGATGGTTTGGTTCAGCAAGAAGGGTGCCTATGGATTATGCCAAGAAAAAGGTTGTGGAACGTAATATTCCTATCCAAACTAATAGTGCAGGGAATTTAGCAATCATGTTCTGAGTATATCCATTGATATATGATAGAAATTTTTTTGTTAATAGACAATATGAAGGACCTAGGAGAGATAAACTTGGTTAGAAAGAGGTTACATGATATGCAATTGTCACTAGCATCATAACATGTGTCAATAACTCGAAAGAGATTATAAGACACCATGATAAAATGACAATGAAGAAATAGGTTACATAGATGATGAAAATGAAGATATACAACAAGTGGGTTATGAAAAAGTCATAAGTGGAGACTCGTCGAAAGAGAAAAAGAAATGAAGATTCGTCTCTTCCATCAAATCCAACAATAACACACTCTCTCTATCCATTTTCTCTTTTCTTATTAGGGTTAGTATAGAGATGATCTTGTCATTGGCTTGAATTATTATTATCTAAAGCACCTGTTAATGCTCTTCCAATTAGCAACTAGTGATCAAGGCATACTTACCAAGATCCTGGTAGACTGTAGTTTCAAAAATCTTTTAGCTGAATTGAAACAAATATTTTGTAATAATTAACCATCAAGAAGCTTAGAATATCATCTTGCTTGACAAATTGTAGTCTCAGTGCAACTCAATTAACAATCTTTTGATACAATTAAAACCTTGTCAATCAAAGAGCTTGGCTTAACACCTTGAATTCCTTGCAGCTTCCAATGACATGATGCCAAGAGAGTGCTAATGTTATGACCCACAAACTAATCCACCACCCAACCTGCCATGTTCTTCTCCCATGAGATCCCTTCGAGTGTCTCTCCAGCCAATTCCATTTCAGTGGCAGGCATCCGTTTTGTCCGCGCATGATGTCCTCCCACAAACTGCTACATCTCAAATCCAAGCATTGCTTCGCACAATCGGACAACGCCTTCTTCCTTGCCCTCCAATAATTTTCCACCTGGTTTCTTCCTTATTTCTCATAGTCTCAAAGTTATCAGAAAGAAAGGAATCCAATGCAGCAGTCGCACATGTCAAATGATATGGAGCTCCTACCACATAATCAATCATCTGTGATGCAATATCTCACTGATACTTCGAGATCATTGCTTCCTGCCAAAGCTAATGAAAAGATGCCTCACAAGAGCAGAATTAATCATTGCAAAACAGTACTTATGTCAATTCTATCGGGTAATTAATCAATTAAATAGCAAAAAAACTCATAATTCCAAATGTATAATAGTATATTCATCTAGTCCTAAAAATATCTCTTAATTAATAGTTTGATGTCATTTATCAGAGATTAACATAGTATAAAATTAAACAATGAACATAATATTATGACATGTCTCTAGGCTCTTATCTAATTGTAATACTATTTATTATAATCCAACTTGATGAAATAACTGACCTATTATCTTATCGAGCATAAATCACTAAATCAAAATGCTTATATCTAAATTAACGTTAACTTATACATGGATGACATAATAGTACTTCCGTGAACTATCTGACCATCATATGATATTGCTTGTGCTCTCATAACTACTAAGTTTGACAATAGAAGAAGAAGAAGGCAAGAGGAGATAATTCCATAGTAATTTATTTTAGAACATCAAGTTAACTGGCAGGAAATGATAAATATTAATTGTGACGACATAACAAATGCATCGTGGATTGAAATTTCTACAAAGATTCATCTGAAGTGATTTATGATAGAAGCCAACCCATTTCTTAGGCGAAATGTCATATCACAAGCCAAAGAAGCAGCAGCAGACTGTCCAAACGTTCACATATAGTGATGCTGATTGATGATGAAGCAGCGGCGTATACTCCGATTGATGGACTATCACATCCACCAAATAATCTGACGTGATGTGATTGTTTTAATTAACGACAGGCAAATAAATAATGGTACGACAGACGCTGCACTCTTGCTTGTGATTGGCATACGACTGGGACGACTCCAATGATGAATCCAATCACTCAGTCACAACGACGTGATTAGTTTTTTTATTTTCTTTTTCTTTGGAAGAAAAAAGAGGTCATGTGATTCGCTTTATGTTATAATTTCTTAAAAGTGGGTTAAAAATAATCTTATATTGTTGAATATTGAAGGAGTTGAATCATATGTATAAAGTTTGATGTATAATCTAATATATATATATATATATATATATATATATATATATATATATATATATATATATATATATATATATATTAAATATGAATGATTTGACTTAAACTCATCATTATGATATCAAAGTCAAGATTAAAAAGAATAAACATATAAATTTTAATTAGAGTTAACATATATAAATCTGAGAAGATGCTAAAAAAATATTTATGTGTTAGAAACTAAAAAACACTAAGAAGATACTCATGCCGCTAAGAACTAAAAGAGTGGATTTGATCCCAACTTAATAATCTTATCCTAGTTTCGTTCGTGATTGCAGCCAATCATGTTTTTTCATATATTTTTGCTAGACCATATGATAAAACAAGGGCTGCAAAGGTTGAAAGTATCAAATAATTTAGTTGGTAAAGACTTTGATGTCTTATCTTAAATCCAGCCTTTGTTATAAAAAAAAAATGGAAAGCTTGAGTACTCAATCTTGATTAATTAGGTTTAGTTAAATATTAGAACACTTGGTGACCATAATTAGCACCAAATCTTCAAATATGTTACTTTATTTTAAGGATATGTTCATAGTTTTGGTGTTGAATTGTGTCCATTTTTTGGCAAATGGTGCAAAGTAAAGAACTAGATGTTCGGATTCATGAATTAATTAAAATGATAAGGAAACGAACCACAGCGAAATATACGATCAAGAGAACTACCGGAATTAACACTAAAGTTGTTCCTTATATATAAGACTTGGATTTTTTTTGCCTTTTGATGGGTACTTGACATTACATATATAAATCACATCAATCATATGTAAAATAGACCGTCTTTCTGATATTTCGATAATGTTTTGAGCTGTTGTGTTTTTTCTTCTTTTTCGATTATGATTCTATCAAACGAAACATGATATCCTTGTCATAAATATTGCATGGAATATAAATGCTTGTTGACTTGCTGATATTGTTACTAGTTTCAGCTGTTACTTAT